TTTATCTGTGGAAAATGCTGTGGGATCATATAATTACCAAATAATTGTTTTCTTTAAACTGATATTTGAACAATTCACAGTTCCATAATGCCCAAATGAAAGGTAAAAACTGAGCTAGCTTTCTAAAAGCCTACTGTTATTTATATCATACAGTCAAATATTTCTTAACATGAGAATTATATATTTAATCTTTTGATACATAGTATCCAATGGACAGTTTATTTACCATACTTGGTATAAGAGGGGCTTCAAATTGATACTGTAAAGTTTTGAGTATAGTCTAATATAAGATAAAGAAGCTACACGCACACAAAGATTATTCATTTGCTAATGTTGGAATTATTTTTTTTAACCATACACCAAAGCTCTACCAGTATTTATTTCGTTAAATCATTTGGTGCTTTGTATTTTTACAGTCATTGCTGCTTCTAGCTTACCTCATAAGGAATGGATCAGAGCGTGTTGTTACAAGTGCCAGAGAACACATTTATGATTTGCGATCCCTGGAAAATTACCACTTTGTAGGTGAGCAATAGAAAAACCTTATAAGCAAATTAAAACAGTAGTTGGAGTTGTCAGTCACCTGAACCAGCTTAGAAGCTTCTCTGCTCTAATTAGAATGTGACTGTTGCTGGTTGTGTGACGAGTGCAGAATCCAAGACGTGGGGCCCTAGAGTATTAATTAGTGAAGACAAGAACTTGCAGAAAAGACTGGCTAATAACAACAGAACCAACACAACATGAGTGTTCGGGTTTATATTAAAATATGCACTGGAGACTGGTCCCCTGTGGTGTCCATAAAGGAATAGCTTTAATCATATGGGAAGAAAAGGTTAGAGCTCCAAAACACACACATCTGTTTGAAGCTGGGGTTTTTTTTTCCTCCCACCAAATAATATTTACTGTGCAAAGGCAGCAAGGCCAGAGTGTGTTTTGAATGTGAAAGAGGATACAGAATGAACCATATTTCATTTTGTAGTGCACCCCAGTTGAAAGCACTTTAAAAATTCTGTTTTTCAGCTATACTAAATCCTTGTAATTAGTGTTTCCAAAAATGTATTGGGGAAACCAAGATATTTGGGTGCTTGCCAGTCATTAAAATGTTATAGTGAGTTTTATTTTGTTTTGTTTTGTTAAAATACTATACTATCAAAAAAGAAAATAACATTCATGGATATAAGTCCATTTCATATGGTCATCATTTGTAATCCTTTTTTAGAGGATCTTTAATTGATCTTCCTTAGCACCATTATCTGTGATCCTTTTTAAGTTCACCTTTACAGGCTCTAATAAGCCAAAATTGCATCTCGAAACTTAGAACCTGCTGATGAGGAAATGACAAAATTTAATAGCACAATTTACCTCTTCTTCTTAATTTTAAAATATTGAAGTTGGTTTCTTATGTTGAAATTTTCACACTCTTTTTTTGTGTTAAAAGGTTTGATACATAGTGACTGAATTCTTAAGGTTTTGCTTCTCCCTTACCATTCTCACAGATGAGCATGGCAAGGATCAAGGTATAAATATTCGCCAGAAGGTGAAAGAATTGGTCGAATTTGCCCAGGATGACGACAGACTTCGTGAAGAGAGAAAGAAGGCAAAGAAGAACAAAGACAAATATGTTGGGGTTTCCTCAGACAGTGTTGGAGGATTCAGATACAGTGAGTATCAAAATCATACTGGCACCTAAGCATCAATTTAGCTTCACTGAATTGAATCACTGAAATATGAAAAGCCAAAATGCTATTTTTCTTTTCAGGAATATATAGAATACTAAAATATATGTAATACTCATTTTGGCTCCTATTACATGGATCTTAGGAATCTTTCTCTTTTTTACTTTGGTGGGTTTAAGAATATGTTTTAACCATTAATTGTTAATTAAATAATTGCAAACTTTGAGTTGATATACAGAGAATAATACAGATATATACCCTTCCCTCTCGGGGTTACCACTCTAATGAAGAAAAAAGAATTTCTCTCACCATTTAGAGCATAAAATGTGTTAAGTTTGATCAAGAGATTGGTCTTCTAAATTTGAAACCAATTTAGCTGTTTTTGTCCAAAACAAGGAAAGCTTCCTATAAGTTAGCCCATCCTCCATCTCTTCCCTTAATTAAGCAATGCATTAATTTGATGTAGAAAAAGGTGACTGACAGTACCATCAGTTTTTCATCTAGGCCTATCGCTTTATTGTTCCTAACTAGAACATTCATCTCCCCTGTTTATTTTTAATGTAATAATATAGTTTACCTAAAATAGATCACTAGGTGCTTGAAACAGATACAGAAAATAACTCTTTCATTGCATGTCTCTTTGGACTCAGTCTTCTAAAACTCTGACAGTCCCCTGGGTCATTCTGTGTGTACACAGACAGACCAGTGCTGTGTATACTTAGCAGCTGCATCTCGGGGCTCTCCTACTCTCCTCACCCACATATGAGTTTGTTTATATTTGGATTATACTCAGAACTCATTCATTGGAACTATGTAAAAATCTATTTCTTGTAATTACCTATAAAATAGCATCTTCACTCCTTTGCTCCTCTGCGTTCTTGCCCTCAGAGAAAAAATACTGCACTTAATTAGCTGTTTCTAACAGCAGGAAAATCTCTTTAAGTCTAAGAATCACATAAAACTCAATTCTTGATTTGGGCAAAAATAGTTCTCAAATAAATCATGTAATTATATTTTAGAGTTTTTATTTGTTTAGCAGAAAAAGAAGTTTTTAGATTATTTGCCCAACTAGTTATTTTATACTTTAACTTTTTCAAAGTAGCTGTAGCAATTTAATGTGTTTTTGAGTAGAAATTGTTATTTGCAACTCATTTTCTTACTCTACATGCTTGTAAACCTTCTTACTAGGACAATATGTAATTAGAGAAATGTAGAAAATTGAGTACAGAATCAGTCGCAGTGAACCAGTATAGTACCTGCATTAGAGATAGAGTTGAATGTCCTGTGCATTTGCATCACATTCTTTTATAAACATTTTTAATGTCATGTGAGTCAAATTTAATCAACTTTATTTTGTTTTTATTTTTCATTTTGATATTAGATAATGTCCTGCCAACATCCAGTATCTTTGGCACACACTTAGTATGCTATCTACCACACTAATCAGTTTAGTTTTCATCTACTTTCTTTTTTCTGGTAAATTTGTTTGTTTGTTTTTTAAGTCTAGTTCATCACATTGTTGTTGAAATGTACATACCCCTTATAGGAAAACCACTCATTTTTATAAAACCATCCTGATTTAGATTTTGTCTAAAAACCTCACTTTGTCATGTTCTATTTAATGTTTAAGTTGGAGGTCACTTTTAAATTTAGTAGACAAATTTTTAAATTCTCAAGCTCTTACAGAAAATTTTGACTTTGCAGTTTAAGCAGACAATTTAGTAAAATGGTTTTGTTTAGTCTCCACTGGGCATGTATGCCATCAGAACTTGTTGACCAAAGTTTAGAACAAAAGCTCTGTTAGCCACCTTTGGATTATTTTATTTCTCATTGCTCCTCCCTTTGTTCTGTAACCTGCCTTAGTTTCAGTGTTTTCCTCTTTTTAATCTGATTTCTCTGTATCTTCTACTCTTGCCTCATAAGTTGAGTTTGGACATGGACATTGAAATGGAAAGATTTACTTTAATGCCTACAATCCCTTTCTCTCCTTTGGACCCAAGGTCATGGACTAAAACAGATCTTGACACTTTGGGGTGTTTGTTGTACTGCCATGATCTATTCCCTTCGTTCTCAAATTCACACTGAGGCTCCCTAGGTTGTGCCAGTCCCAGCATATGTTTGGGCTTGGTGTTTGAATAGATCATCACTGTTCTGAACTGCTTAAGCATATTTCATTATTACAGTCTGTGTAGCTTTTGGTAGTTAGAATATTCTTTTCTTTTACGGTAATTAAAAGATGATTTCTCATGCTGTGAAATCCAATGAGTTGTTTTTCTAGTTTGGTACTAAAGTATGACATTTATGAGTGTTTACAGCATCCTGGGACATGTAGCATTCAGAATGGTATTTCCTATAGTTTGTTTTTTATGAGATTTTGCTGTCTAATACTTTTTATAATAATCGAAAAACCATTAAGAGACAGAAGTGAAATATAATGCATTAAGTGACTTTTGTAAAAACAAAAAGATTTCCATTTTTCCTTTGCTTATACAGCCTGTGTTGGTTTTGTGTTTTCCTCTACTCCTTTCAACAGCCCTTAAGAACTTCCTGATATGCTGTGCTATGTATTAAGGTTGTGTAAGTTTTCATAACCTGCTACTTAATGACTGGCACTGCATGCTGTGCCTTGCTGCAATTGTGTTGATTCAGCACTGTGGGAGCTTTCTGTTTTCCTTTGAAAACTATTTTATTATGAGGAAAAGCTTCAGAAATAAGAACTGTAGATAGCTTCCGAATTTAATGTCTTTAATGTTGCTTCTCTTTTTAATGCTTTACATAGGTGAAAGATATGATCCTGAGCCCAAATCAAAATGGGATGAGGAGTGGGATAAGAACAAGAGTGCTTTTCCATTCAGTGATAAATTAGGTGAACTGAGTGATAAAATTGGAAGCACAATCGATGATACCATCAGCAAGTTCCGGAGGAAAGATAGGGAAGACTCTCCAGAAAGATGCAGGTATTAACACTTTGTATTCTGGGTCTCTTGGAGAGGGTGCTAAATTGTTTTTTTGTTTTGAGCATTACTATTATCTGAGGTTCAGCATTTTTTCCCTAATAGATTTTATTTTTGAGAGCAGTTTTAAACTCAGAGAAAAATTGTGCATAAAGTAAAGAATTGCCATATTTACACACACTTCTGTTATTAACATCTTGCATTACTATGGTACATTTGTTAACAGTTGATAACCAATATTGATATATTATTATTGACTAAAGTCTCATTTACATTAGGGTTCACTGTGTTGTACAGTTGACAAATGCATAATATCCATCATTATGGAACTATACAGAGTAGTTAACACTGCCCTAAAAGTACCCTTTGCAAAAACATAGACTGATTCATGAATTTGCATATCATCCTTGCATAATGGCTATGCTAACCTTCTCTGATTGTTCCACTTTTAGTATAGTTGCTGCTGATGTGAGCACCATATAGCTGTTTTTTAAGACAATAAGTCAAACATTACTTAAAATTACTACTGACATACTTTCCATGTTGTCTTTGTCCATTTGTTTCTAAAGTTGATCATATTTCCTATATGTTTTTATTCAGGCTATTTATTGGAATTATTTTTTTCCTGTAAGAATTTTCAAAGATTATTTTGCATTTGGGCATCAGATTATCCAGAGATCTAAGGTATTGCTGAGGGCTAATGAAGTTTTTAAAATTTAAACAGGAGTTAAAGGGTTTGATATTTAACAACTCCTGTAACATTCCATTATGATTTTGTGCCAGTGTATACCAGGAAAAAATCCAAATGGCGTTTTGGACTAAAAATGTTTTTGAGTATAGACCTATATTTTCCTAAGGTACATTCTCTAATAGTAGGGCATTTTTATTTAGTTTTATATAGAACAATACTTGGAATAGCATTCATTTTTGGTTTTTCCTACCGACATAGCTATTAAACTAGTTTCTCTGCAGGTTAAACAGCAGTGTACATAGCACTTGTTTTGTGAGGCAAGTTTTTATAAAACCTTTGTCATTTGTGCCTCACAGAGTCTCTATTAGATAGGGAAGAGTAAGGATTTTACCCTTACTGTTTACAAGTAAAACCTGGGGCCTATTCAGGCTGTGTGGAACTTGCCTAAAGTAACAGAGTTAGTGATAGAACTGAGCCCTCAAGTAAGTTCTTGTAATTAAGCATCATCTCTTCTTTCCTTAAAAAAGAATCTTAATAGTTCAGATTTAGAGGGCAATTGAAGAAAAGTAAAAATAAAAATATAATTTTGAAATTCTCAGGTTCTGAAATATTTGTTTAGTGTCTTTTCAGTATGTTTCCATATTTATTAAATCCCTGGAATTCCTATCATTTTCAAGACTGTTTCTGGAATGTGATCTTTAAAGAGCTGGAATTTATTTTTAGTACTTTGAATATGTGTATCTATTTTGTAACTACATTTCTAGTTCTTTTATGCTGAAATAGTATGCATATGATAATAAATACTAAACTTTGGAAAGCAGTGCCTACTTCACATATTCAGTGCAATTTTCCCCTCTTTAATGTTCTTGTGGCTTGTGTGTTTACATTTTTGTTTTGGTTTAGAAAATACAGTGGTCATATATTCTGTTGCTATTTCCTGAAGAAGTATGGGAATCAAGTAGGTAGGCTGGTACATCTGATCATGTACCTTCTTGTGTTGTTACTTTTCTCTCTCGCCCTACCACCCTCAGTTTTTCTTTCCATATTTTTGTTTTTTTTCTGCCTTGATTTTTTTCCCCCTATGTTGGCTCTCAGACAGGGTCTGCTAGAGTTCCTAAATCTTTAAGAGTATTCAGGTTTAAAGGAGTGAAAATGTAGTCTGTATTATTAACCGTGACTAAGGGGCACACCAGGGACTTTTACATCTAGGACTATTTGTGAAAAAAAGAGTAGATTTTTAAACAAAATCGCATGTGACCTCTCTCCCAGAATTTCAGACTTATTAGTTCATTATTAGATTCAAGAATTCCTGAACTTTGGTCAGAATGAGGCTTCCATTTCACTGTGTGCTAGTCAAGTTTATATTCTCAACTTGTAAAGACGTTATCTTGTATTGAAATAAAATTGGACATCAGAAAGGTGAGAAATTTTTGTTTTACTTATAGGACTGATGGTGGGAATCTTTAGGTCAGTTTTTGCTGTGAAATTACCTAGTAAGTGACAAGGGCTTTTAAACTCTTATTCAGAACTTTTAGAATCCCTAAAATGCTTATAGATAAAAATACATTTAACTCCTTTGCTGTGCATGGGAAGCCATTCTTCTTGATTCCTGATTTTACAGATTTGGAATTAAACAATTCCAATTTGGTTTATATTTAAATAGAAATAGTCTGAGTTATATTTCATCAGTAATAATACTCATAGTTTTAAGGAGAATTTTAAGTATTTTATTTTAGAATATTTGTAAATTAAACCATCTACTCTAAAATTAAGTAAAATAGGTAATGAGACATATGTTAGGTAATTTCTCTCTGTCCTTCTTGCACCAGGAAAAACCCAGATGCCTTATTACTGGAGAAGAGACTAGTACTGACATTTTTAACCCATAGCATATGAAAAACCCAGTTTTTTGCTCATAATGTAGTTTTTTCTTTTGCATTATTAAAAAAAAAAATGTTTCTGAATGTGCCTGAAATAATTGAAATATATTTAAGTTTTCTGTAAAGCAGTTTTCATAATTACATAAAAGTTTGATCTGATACTACAATGAAAAAGAACAGTTGTTGGAAAGTACATTACCTCATGTTTTTCTGCATAAACAGATTAGAGTTTTAATCATTTGAATTCAGATAATATTTAACAGGTATCCATTGAAATTGTAATATTTTATTATGTATTAATATGAGAGTCGATGACAGAATTATGTTGTGTAAATGTAACTGTAGTTGTTTGCATACAATCCATTTCAAGAAAATGGTCATCAAATGCAAATGTTGGAGCTCCCAGGATCTCATCAGTTGATTGTGCTATGATGATAATCCAGCTATTATATTTTTTTAAGCTTAAATCTATACTAAATAAGCACTTTAATTATTTTAGACATTTTTTATTTGTACATATTTATGTAAATACTTTTTTGTAGCAGTGTTTTAGAATTACCTCAGGAATTTGTCAGGTTCCCACGTTCCCTCCCCAACATACACGTGTCATTATTCAGATAGATAACATTCTGTTGATCCCTGTCAAATAGTCAAAGTATGGAATTTTAGAGCTACTGTATTTGAAATACTTTAGTTCAAATCACTGAGGACTCCATTTTAAAATAATCCCTAGTCTTATTATTTTGCTTCATTTTTAATATCTTTTAGCGACAGTGATGAGGAAAAGAAAGCAAGAAGAGGCAGATCTCCCAAAGGAGAATTCAAAGATGAAGAGGAGACTGTGACAACCAAGCATATCCATATCACACAGGCCACGGAGACCACCACAACCAGACACAAGCGCACAGCAAATCCTTCCAAAACCATTGATCTTGGAGCAGCAGCACATTACACAGGGGACAAAGCAAGTCCAGACCAGAATGCTTCAACTCATACGCCTCAGTTTTCAGTTAAGGTGGGACTGGCACAGGTTTATACATTATACACAGTTTTATTCTTATAAATTTTAGAATTGTTGCATTAGTAAGCTTAGGCATTTCTAGGCAATTATATTAATTACAGATCATCTAGCATATATTACTCAAAGTCATTAATAATTTCCTCTCTGTGGGGAAAGATACCTGTCCAATTGCTGAATGAGTCTCTAAGCACTCTCTGTGAAAGTAGAAGTGACACTTTTGGTTCGTTTGGGAAAGGGTGTGAATCTGAGTGTAATACATCTATTTCCGTCTAAGACACCACTGCTGGTTACCAAGAAGAATGAGATTCACTAATGGAAACATGGGAGTATTTGGAAGTTGTAAGAAGTGACAAAAGAGAACCAAGTAGATATAAGGGAAATGGTCTCATTTGATACAGAGATGGTGCCTACAAAGAGGGTCGTATTTACTTGATGGTCACTACTGATCAGTAGCAGCAGATCAGTACTGATCTGGCGCCTTTTTTATTTGTTTTTCATTCACCACAGACATGGAAGTCCACCTACTAGATACTGGGCTACAAGCTAGTCTTTCGGACAGAAATCTGCCAAAGAGAGAAATTTTTCCCAAAAGGCTAAATTGTTGTTTTGTCACTTTGCCCCCACCCAACTAATGTTTACCTAACTTGTATCTTTGCATCAGAAGTAACTAAAAGCTAGAGAAGACAGTTTTCTAATGTATCCTGCAAATAGTAGATGACTCTAAAAATAAAGCTAGTCCTGCTTAGTGGCAAGAACAAGTACTGTGTCAACTTTTGCCAAATATCTACTGGTGTATGATTTTACCCATATTTGTTCTTTTTAGTTTTGATGAAAACCTCAAAATTATAACTCATCTTTACTTGTAGTTAAAGAGGGGAAATGGCTATTATTTCTCTGTGGTCTTAGATTTCCTGTGCTATAGATACTGTTAGCTTACTAATGGCAGTATGGGATCTGGGAGATAGCCATAGTTGAAACCCAATACATAGTGGCTCTTATATGGAGAATTTATTTAAGGTTGCATGAAGAAAATTATCCCAACTATATAATTTCTTAACAGTAAATTGAGACTTTTATATCTTATAGGATTTTAAATAGCAATTTGTAGTACAGCATGAATATGTCACTCTGCAATAAATATTTTATATATTTGTAGTGTGAGCTTTTTACTTTGTTTTTACTACCAAAAAAATTTCTAAAAGGTCGAAGTACTTGAAAAGTTACTCAACTACTTCAAATTTCTTTCTTTCTCAAGGTCTTTTTGAACTATGATGTAGTATTTTAATCTTCAAAGCTCAGGAACTCAGATTGTTTCCCTATTTTCTAGCTATTCTGTTCTCATTTAGCATGTATGTATTGAAGATACAGCAAATATGCATCAGAGTGCTTGGGACTATGAAGAAGAGAAAAATCATATTACAACTCCTATCCCACAATTTAGTTTGGGAACTAAATATGAAACAATTAGATGTCAAGCTATATCAACAGAATTATACTGACTTGTATAGCATACAAATAGTAAGCATTGCTAAAGTTCATAGAATCATAGAATTTTAGAGCTAGATAGAATCTTGGCCTCTATTCCAGGGGATCACAGACCTTGTTAGATATGGAAATTATTGAGGGAACTTTGTAAGACTGTACAGGCCGAGATTCCCACCGTGGGCATTTATGATTCAGTATATTGTGATGGAGCCTGGAGCATATGTATTTTTTTAATCCTCAAATGATTCTGATACGTAGCATGAAGTTTGAATGGGATCTGGAAGGTATATTTTCCAGAGTGAAATTCAGTAAGAAAAAAATGAGGGAAAAGACAAGTGTGGATGTGACAGACTTTTACAGTGCTGGTAGTAGAATTAAAAATACTTACCATCTCCATAA